CTGGGGTCCTGAACAGGGGGGTTTGAGGAGTTTGGAGGTACCTGCCCTCACCCAAGGCAGCACAATGTCCTGTGTCCATTTCTCTGCCCAGCATGACTCACTTGGCTGTACTGATGGTCTGAGAGCTCAGTTCTCCAGATGGGCCAGAACCACAAGCCCTGAGCAGGCTGTGGGCTCTGTGTGGGGCTGATTCCCATGTGCTGCTGGGAGCATTGTGCCATAGGAGGAGCACTCAGCTTTGGGCTGCTTGTTTGGGTAGGAAACATGAGTGGCTGAGGCACCCAGGCATGGCCATGTTCCTGTCATTTTAAAGGACACAGCATCTGCTGACACCAGGGATCTTTTCAGTTCCAGGGAGGAGTGTGGTCCCTCAGCACAGTGCTGTGCGATGCCCTGATGACCATGGACGTGATGCTGTGCACAGCCTCCATCTTCAACCTGTGTGCTATCAGCGTGGATCGGTGAGTGGCTTCCTGCTCTGGCTGTGCCTGGGCAGCACGTTGGTTCCATAGGCCCTTGCCAGTGTCCCAAGCAGGGATTCTACCCTCCCCTAAGGAGGGTGTTCTGCCCTAATGTCCTTCACCACCAGGTATGTGTCTCACCAGTGGTGGCCAAGCCCATTGTGCGATGAGCCAGAGCTGTCCCTTGGCTGTTCTGGTTGTAGCCCAGGCCTCGGCTGTTTGTAAATTAATGGGGGGAAGGATAGTGACAAGGAGCTTGGAGCCCCTCGGTTACATTACCAGTGGTGCCACCACCACACCAGGACTGACTCACCCAGGGCTGTGTTGGCAGGTTCATCGCTGTTCAAATCCCACTCAACTACAACCGGCGACAGATCGACCTACGGCAGCTGATCCTTATATCCACCACCTGGATATTCGCCTTTGCTGTGGCATCCCCAGTCATATTTGGTCTCAACAACGTCCCAGACCGGGACCCCAGCTTGTGCCAATTGGAGGATGACAACTACATCGTGTATTCCTCCATCTGCTCCTTCTTCATCCCATGCCCTGTCATGCTGGTGCTGTACTGTGGCATGTTCCAAGGACTCAAGCGCTGGGAAGAAGCCCGGAAGGCCAAGCTGAGAGGCTGCATCTACGGAGCCAACAGGAAGCTGTATCACCCCCCAACCTTGATGGAGAGAGAGCAGACCCGGCTGGGGCTGCTGGACTGCAGCAGCCCCTATGCCCGTGCCGGCCTCCCTGGGGAGTGTGGGATGAACAGTGGGATCCAGACTGTGTCCTACCCGCACCTCAGGTACCCGCACCCGGGGCACGGGCACAAGCGGGCCAAGATCAACGGCCGGGAGCGCAAGGCCATGCGGGTGCTGCCGGTCGTCGTCGGTGAGTGGCTGTCAGGGGTGGCTGGGGAGGGTGGGAAATGTGCCAGCTTGTCCCACCACAGTGCTCAGACTGGCAGGACCTGGGTGAATCCAGAGCAGTGCCAAAAACCTCCACGCTTGGGAAAGGTTTATAACCCACCCTCTCTTCAAGGCAAACCTGTGACTCCCAATATCTTACGTTCAAAGCTAAAGCAAGACTTAAGACTTTTCATCGATGTTTAGGACAGGAAAGACATCCCAGTTTTTGTCTGGGCATAAGCCCAGCTCCACATGTCAGCACAACTGCTGCCTTTTCCCCGAGTGCTTGAGCTGTGTATATTTTTTTTTTTTTTTGGCTCAGGCTTTGTTAAGTTAAACCCTTCTGAACATTCACATCACCTTCTCTCTTTATTGTCCTCCTGGCAGGTGTTTTCCTCTTCTGCTGGACACCTTTTTTTGTGGTGCACATTACCAGGGCTCTCTGCAAGTCCTGCTCTATCCCCCCTCAAGTCACCAGCACTGTCACTTGGCTGGGCTACGTCAACAGTGCTCTCAACCCCATCATTTACACCGTGTTCAACGCCGAGTTCAGGAACTTCTTCCGCAAAGTCTTGCACGTCTTCTGCTGAGCCCTCTGCACAGGAGGACCCACTGGGCAGGAGGAACCATTGGGTCATTTTTTGTATAGTTCATTAAAGGTCTATTTCTGCCTCTGGTCTGCTGTCTTTGTTGGGGATGAGGGGAGGAAGAGAGCTGGCAGCTGAAGGAAGGGATCCCCAGATCCTTGTAGTGAGGTGTTAAAGGGGAGGGCCAGTGGATGCAGCTTGAATCCTCTTCCCACTGGAAACTGCCAAGTGAAGCCACTTTTTTATCACTTGCTGCTTGATGTAACCACAGATAATAATAATAGTAATTTCTAATCTTCTGGCTTCTGGGGTGGTATTAACAGGGCTGTGAGGTGACATGGATACAAGTCTGGGGGAAAAAGCTGTTAAGCTCATTTCCCAGATGTCCACATGCCAGACAAGGGTACCAAGCTCATTTCCAGATGGCCATATGCCAGGTGAGGGTGAATCCACCTATGCAACCTCCTTTCCCCTTATCCCTGATAATTTTAAACCCAAAAACTGATTTCACTCATGTTTAACAAGGGTCTTACAGAGGCACCATAATGTTATTGCTAGTGCTCCAGAATTTCCTGTGAAGCCACATGATTCCTGCCAAAAACCATTTCCAGCCTCAGGAAAAAATCCTTCATACCTTTATGTAAACTTGCATGCAGCGACAGACACAGCAGCCACTGGGACAGGTGATGCTTGTCACTGAGGCTTGGAGAGGAGAAAAAGAATATTTCAGAAAATTACAGTCTTATGAGTAATGATTTTGTACAGGATTGTTGCTTTCCAGGAGGGAATTTGCTTGGAAGCAGAAGAGAAAAGGGATGTCTTGAGTGGTCCTTTTTCTAAAAACAGCAAGTGCTCAATTTCTCATCTGCAAACAGACAGTTCCCACATGATTATATGGTGCATTTCTGAGCTGTCATTCACTGGGTTGGGGCACAGCTGCCCCAGATAGCAGGGCACTGGGGGCTTTCCAGAGGTGCTACTTTGGAGCTGTCTTTGCTGCATCTGAATGCAGTATGCAAGAAACCCAGTAAATGAGATGTGTTACTGTGGGCTCAGTTAAGACTGTCTTCCCAATTAACTAATTGTCTCCAAGTTTTAGACAACAGGCAATCTGCATTTAACTGTGAGCAGAAACCATTCCAAACACTCTAGTATTACTCTGGGAAGCATTTTGCTATGGGAATGGAAGGAGTTGCCTGTTTTTTCCTTCCCAGGAGTATCACAGGTAATTTCTGTTCCCATCCTTGTTGGGAAGGTAGAATTAGAAAGAAATTATAAATACGACTCTTTAGCCAGAAAGGCTAAGGAAGAAATACAAATGAAAGCACGGTTTGAATAATTCAAAGAAACCACTCTGGTATGCCAGAACACATTCTTTCCCCCAGTAAAACTAAGCTAAGACCCCTCTCCCCAGCCTTATAAGGAAAGCTCTGAAGGACCCTGAGATAACTAAAAGCATGCAAAAGCAGCAATTTCTATAGGTCACACACAAATATTACTGTATTAGTATACTTAGAAAGATTGGTTAGTGAAGGAATAGAATATTCAATGTATAGATTATATAAGCAATTGTAAAAGAGAGTTCTCTCTCTTAGCATTCTTGCCTCACGCTTTCTACACTCTTGCTGCTCTCTTTTTCCTGCTCTTTCCTGCTCTTCTTTACCCTTTTTTCCCAGCTCTCTCACTTCTGTTCTGTTACTCTCTTTCATAGCAATCTTAAGTCTTGAACTCATGTATTCATATTTTACCCCCTTTTGTATTGTTCCCTCTGAGCCTGCTTTGAGCTCTATCTGTTGGCTCATAGCAGGCTCTCTCTCTCTCTCTCCCACGCCCTGAAATAAACTACTAACATCTAACTCAACTATAGAGGTCTCTGCCGTGTCTCGGACCATCCACACCCCAAAGCGTCTCATACACATCCGGCCTCAGTTCCTGCTTGGCTTTCACTGGAAGCATGGTTTCCTTCTGGAAGAGCTGCATTCTGTGGCCACCAGCTCCTTGCCCTCGATGGCACTGCAGTGATGCCCCCTGGGCCTGCTCAGCTCTGCATTAGGAGGAATAACTCCCAGGAGACAGCCAGGAAGTAACACTCATCACCTGCCACTGACTGTGGGAGCCCTGTCACCTCACTCCATGGGAGACTCGTGACCAATGTCCCTCGGGAGCTGGTGCCGCTGGCAAACCCACCAAGGGCACTTCTGAGACCCTGAAAGAGATGGCAAACCAGCTCCTAGTGCCTTGGAACACATGGAATGCAACCTAACAGACCTTTAACATGCACAGGGGAAGGAATAGATTTGTCAGAATCCTCTAAACTTTTCCATGGAGTTCACCTTTGAGTCTTTTCCATGGCATTTTTCTCTCTAAGTTTCCCGTAACGCAGGATAGAAGTTTCTCCGTTTGACAGTGTGTGTGATGTTGGGTTGGGTCACTCTGTGGTTCAGGTGACCCTGCCTGGAGCAGGAGCTGAACAACCATCCTCCCTCATCCATCATCACCAAACTGGTGCAAACAAGAGGCAGGACAAGTGACCCCTCAGCCAGAGCAAACAATAGTGACCCTTCATGGGGTTGTGACTGCTAACGGGGGCTATACCTGGAGATAAAAATAAACCCAACCAAACAATCAGAGGCTTCTGTGCCTGTCAAGACTCCTCTGAAGTCTCCAACCACAACTTAATTAACAAACAAAGGACTAACTTAATTATTAAAGTAGTAGATTAATAATTAAAATTATTTTGTTGCAGTGAACAAAGCAAGTAACTCCCTATTGATCAGCACATCTCTAATTAGCACCTCCAATAGGGCAGGGACAGAACAGCCCTGTATCCACGTGTGCTCACCTTGGGCTTGATTCCATCTGATTCTGGCCAGCTGGATGCTATGAGTGACATTCCAGGCATGCCATGGAATGAACCTGTGCTTCCCTGTGGAGAAAACACCCCCCAGGTAGACAGGCAGTAGACACACATGTGCCTGTTGGTGCACTCACCTGTGCAGGTACCTGTACCACAAAGTGCTGCCCTGGGAATTAAGGGGAACCACTGGGCACACTTGTGCTTTCATCGCATTTTATTTAACAACATGTTATTTTTCAATTATATTTAAGTGGAGAAGTTCCAATGTGTTCCAGATTTGCCCAGCACAGAAGGAACACAGGAAAAACTGTGTTTCAATGCCAAACTAAGAACCTGTACCAACTTTTCAAGGCAATTAAATACACCAAAGATTCATTTCTCTTCTCTAATGAGAGGTAAGGAGGTCCTGGTAGGAGGAAGCACTGGCAGATCTCCTTGCAGCACCTACTTTAGATCCATCTCAAGGGAGATGAGGAGACTGCTGTAATCCACATGGTGGAGGATCCAGTCAGGCAAAGGCAAAGCCTCCCAAAGCCAGTCGGGGCCAGGACGGAAGGGAGAGGGCTCCAGATGAGATTTTCACAGTCTCTGTATTATCCAAATCTTTGGAAGGGGATTGGGAATAGACAAATGCTGTCACAGTATCAAAAAGTCAATGAAAAATGAGTCTGCTAGTGATGAGAGTGCTGTTGGCACAGGACAGACCGCTCCTGCCGGTCGCCGATCCATTCGGCCCCGTGTGTCCATGAACGGCTGCGGAGGTAGAGCACTCACACAGTGACCTTCTCCATGACATTGTCCGGGACGTGCACCTCACTCCCTTGCACTGTCACCGTGGCTGTCTGGCCACAGATGTGCTGGTGGTCCTTCCAGTCCTGCCAGGGGAGAGCAGAGGGAAAGGCTGTGAGAAGAATGGGCTCTTGGAGAAGGGCCCTCACTGTGTGAGAAGAACTCTCTCTCCACAAACCAGACCAATAATGAAGGGCAAAGGAGCCACACACTGGATCACTACAAGAGGTGGAATTGGACTAAGCAGAATGCTGCCATCTCCACAAAAACCACAATCCACGGTATCAGTGTCAGTCAGGTGGAAAATTTACTAAAACTGACTCAGAACCTTAAATTAAAGCCTCTCCTGAAAGGCAGCTCCCGACACTGAGCACTCCCGAGGGACAGCTGTGCCAGGATCTTAGCTCAGCTAGGACAGGAACAGATTCCTCCTGGAACTGACTGAATTCAGGACAGCTGATTCAGCCTGAACCTGGCCACCCAGCAGAGCTGTAACTGGCTAAACTGAACCATCCTTCTCTCCAAGCAGGGGCCAATGGTTGCTGTAAGGAACTGGTCTGAAACATGACACACAGCAGCTTCCAGGTGTACTTCACACCTCTTCCCACCTCCCAAGTTCACAATTGTAGAGTCTGTCCCACTGCATCACCTACAGCATCACAAATAATGGAAAGGAGAACTATGTCCTCAGTGACATGGCAGGAACAGCAGGGAAGGAAGTAAGCAGCTCACCAGGAAGCTGCAGGAAGGGGCTGTAAAAGTGCTCCAAGCTCCCCACAGTTCCATGCTTCATTTCTATTGTTACTTGGATTTTTTGGATCACCTTTGGGAAGGTGTATGCAAATCTGGGGATCTCCTCTACCCTTTTAACCCTGTCCTGACTTGCACACCTGTCCCATCACTATAGCCTTGCTGGTGATCCCACTGGCAGGGTGGGTTTGGAGTGCTTGGCCCATGCAAAGTTCTGCTCTGACTGCCTGGCTCTGCTGCCTGTTCCTCCCTCCGTGCTGACACCCATCAGGCTGCCTGAGCAGCCTGGCTGTCCCCAGGGTCACATAGCCCTCTCCAGGGAACTGAATCCCAGGTCACAAGCTGATACCTTCCGCTGGCAGAACGTGGAGCAGTAGTTGACTTTGTGGCACCCCGTGCATTCATTGGTGGCCTCCCGTCCACAGTTGACGCAGGATTGCTGTGGGAAGGGATGGAGGGATATGTCACACAGTGACAAACCAGGGCTGAGGTGTCACCAAGGTGCAACAGAGGTGCTGTGACCAGCTGGAACACCAAAGCAATGGGAAAGCTCCCGTTTCCCAAAACAGCACACCAACCCACAACAAACAGGCCCAGTGGCCTCACCCTCAGAGACCCACTCTCCTTGCTCTGTAGCAGGGATCACTTTGGAAAATTAAATGCACCTCTGTTTTTCCTTCTGTTGGGCAGAAAGCCCTCCAAAACTCATTGTGGACACTGAGTGGTCATGGAAATCCATCCCTACCACCCCATGGAAACCTCCCTCCAGATAGGTCAGGTATCCATCAGTCAGGTAACAACAGGAGCTGGGTGTATCCCACCTAGACAAGTCAGGCTGTGCACAGGCTGTTGACACACAAGCTCTGAGTTTATCCCAAATTTAAAGGTTTAAAGGCAGATTTCATTGGTGGTTTTGTTTGGTTTATAATCCTGTGTATGTCCAAGAGAAGGTCTGAGGAAGGACAACAGACTAAGAGTACGGATGAGACCCTTCAGGTATTTTCTCCTAGTTTTAGAGAGGAAAAAGGGATCTGCTCCTACAGGATACGTTCCTTGGTCCTTTCCTGGTCATGACTACATAAGGAGTGCACCACGAGGGAAACAGGAGTCAAATTAAGAAGACAGGAGCAAGGACTTAAATCCAGAAGCAAGGTGAGATGGGATACACAGGTGAAAAATCACACCTGCTCTTTAAGGGATGTTTTTGTGTCTATCGCTTTCATCTTATCTTGTTGACATCAATTAACATAACCTGTATATTTAGGTGGAAACATCATTGAACTGCCACGCTCCTTCTCTCTTTGAGCACAACCACACCAAAAATCAGTGCTCTGATTAACACCCCCTCTCACACCTTTCCATGTACCTGCAGTGAGCAGCTGGTGAGACTGAACTGTGTTTGTGCTCCTGATGTGTAGCTGTGGATTTGGCACACCAAAAATGGCTTAAAGCTTCGATCTGGGACTTGCAAAGCCTGCCCTGAGGGGACATTTGACTGGGGCTGTTTGTAACCTGTACAGTTACTGGAAAATGTGTTAAATACACAAGGCGTGATTGTACCTGGAGATCTGAAAGGCAACTGAGCAACATAGCTCTAAGGGATTCAGTCATGGGTCCAGAACTAACTCCCATTCCAAAAGCCAGAGGAAATTGTAGAGTTATGAAAACCAGCTCACAGGACAGAAAGGAAGCAAGTTCTCTTCCTGTCACAGCTCTGTAACACCAGCTCACCAGAGCTGCAGCACCACTACTCAGTGATGAGGGAGACTGATGAACCTGGCCAGGTGACAGTGAAGGAGCATAGAAAACTGGAATGCTTGGGAAAGAGGAAACACTGCTTGGAGCACTGGCCCTACTATGAAGGGCTCAGATCCCTTGCCAGAAGGCCACACACAGAGCACAGGATTCCACAGCAATGGCAAAACCCTCTGTGTCTTTAATGAGACAAAGACCAAAAGGCTCTTCACAACACAAACCACCCCCAGCCTACCTTGATGATGATTTCTGTCTTCCCATCCACATCCTCTGTTTGTTGGAATAACTGGCTCTGGTATTGCTGCAAGGAAAACACACCAGACATGTCATTTCCCGGCTGGAGCATAACGTGAGGGGTTGGAAAGGGCGCTGGGATAGAGGGTCCCCATGCTGAGCTGTGTCTGCCCAACCTGACAATGCAGTTGCAAGAGGACAGGGTGGTCCCCCAGTTCTCCCTTCTAGGAGAGGAACACTGTCACCTGATGTGGAGACAGGGCAAGGGGCCTGTGAGAAAATGCCTGAGGTGACAAACTGCCAGTCCAGTACAGCATTTCCTCCAAGCCCAGCTCCCCACTCCATCCAGCCACACACTTGCTCTTAAAATGGGGGGTTTAACTACAACCCCCCTGTACACAGGAACTGGGAAATTCGCACAGGAAACACAAGGAAAATGCCAAGGTAACAGGGCCAAGTGGCACATTCCAGGGCCAAATTTTGGGTAAAGTCCATGGTCCTAATCCACTGAGAGGTAAAGGAGTCTGGAGGGAAGGTACAGGCCAACAAAAAGGATTAGCAGGGAAAAAAGCCTGAACAAAATTAACACACCTTAGACTTTAGGAGCAGCACTAACCACAATTACTCCTCTTTGCAATGGAAGAGTGAGAGGGCTTTAGAACACATTGTGACTCCATCACTCCTCTGGAGGTGATGTTCACAGCCCGCTTTGGCTGCCTGGCAGAATCATGTCACACCAGTTCAAGTCCAACCAGATGCTGCTGTACCTATTGCAGCAGCAACATGCTCAGCAATGGGGACAGGAGTCCCAAACCAATGAAATACAAATCCAATCCTAAATTAATTATGTGCTAACCCTGGATAAAACGTATTTGGAACAGTTAAAAAGTCCAAAAAGAGCTGAACCCCTTCCTCCAGGTCAAGCAGGTTCATCCAGGAGTTGACTCAACACATAAGGAGATTAAAGGCTTAACTTACAAGTGTATGACCTGAGAGCACAATATTTGTTCTCCTGTGAAACCACAACCTTCAAAACCTTGATATTACCATGACAGAAATTAAGTTTAAAAACTCCAGGTAGATGGAGGTGGAGGCAGGGAAACCTCTTGCTCTGGCCTGCCAGGGTGTGATTTGGTTTTTCCCTATTTGACAAGGCAACTCCAGCCATGCACAAACCATGGAGAAAGAAAAGGTGTGATATGAGAGGAGCAAGCCAGACACATTCAGATTTCTCACAGAAACAGCTCCACAAAACCCATAACACCCAATTCCCAATAGTATCACTGCTAGTTTGGAGTAGACAAGCCACTGTTTGCTGACAAGGACATATTTCTTAACTGTCCAACTCTTTTTACATTAATTTCATACTCTTCAGCCTTGAATTGGTTTAATCTTTCTAAAAAAGCATTCAGATGCCCCAGCTGTTTGCTGATTTAATTTTCCACCTTGCTTTCAAATGAGCAGGGCTCCAGAAGCATCCCTGCTTTACAGAAAGCTATTCCAATTAAAAAATTTGTGGGATTTCAACACTGATTCTCTTCAACTTATACAGAAAACCCATTTAACACATTTCCTGAATCTCTTTATTATCCCCCAGCAATTCTGGCACAGAATTTGGTGAGTATGTGTAATATCCCCATCCAAAAGTTTATCTGATATAAACAATGGATTAATGCACACTCAAAAAAATTACATTGCTCAAGCACACCATCACACGTCAGTTTTGCCTTTAATCTCCTCATTTTGGCTGATCTGCAAATGTCAAATATCTATTGCAAGAGACACCCAGCCTTTGTTTCCCCACTCACCCTAAATTCCTAAATGCTTTCCCTTACTAAAAAATGCAGTAAAGCCAACATGGAGATTTTAACCAAGGGATTCGATACTCAGCCACAGCCTAATTATTAATGATACTCAAGAACTGTTTTTTAACATGAAATTCCACCAGAGAAGTTGTAGTTAACTCATCCCACATAGAATGCTGCAATTCAGAAAAACCTTATAAATGTCTCCATATTTCCATTTTTTGTAATATCATGACACATTTTGGAAGTTCATATAAACATGGAGCTGGAGGGCACATGGTTTGTTTTTCTTTTGGGATATCATTCCCCAGGACTTCTAAGTTACACAAATGTAACCTTACTCAGAGGATATAACACTTTGCAAACTTGCACATGAGCTCTCTGGGAAAGAAGTGTTATTTTCATCTGAGGCACAGTGAGGCCAAGGACTTACCCAGGGGAACCAAAATGACTTGTGGGAAAGATGGAAACAAGATTTGAAGGAGATCCTCAGTCTTGAAATTTGCCCCACAAACCATGACCCTTGAACAAATTTACAGAGATTAAGAAGTACAAAGAGAGCAACTGAGTGCATGTCAGAACTGCCAAATTACTAAATTACGTGCCAAAAAACCTCCCTGCTGATGAAGCTTTAGCTCCAGAACTTGGACCAGTTCCTTCAGAAGGGATAAGATGTCCCCAGGCCCTGAAACAGGGCTGAGATGATATGAGTAGGGAGGCAGAGTGCAAACCCCTCGTGTCAGACACACTTCAGAGTTGTGTGAGTCCCACACACATCGACACTGACCCGCACAGAGCACAGCTCCAGATATTTAAAGCTAAGGCAACCTAACTGCTGCCCTATAGGAGCAGGACAGCTCATTTGTGATATTTAATGACTCTAAAGCTCATTAAATAACAAATTTAATACCGAAACACACTATAGTGACTGATGTATAACATACATGACACTAGGTTTGTGTATCCAGTTGGGAGCCAGCCTGTTTTTATCAGATCTCTACAATACAGCTCTGTACTAAGTCACTCTTCCAGGAAAAGCTGAGTCTGCAGCACTGTTATCATCTCATCTGTGGCCCAGCCTCACTCTGCAGCTCCCACACAATGACACCCCCAGGAAAAGCTTCCCCCTGTTTGCTCACCCTTGGAAGTTCTGTCAGTGGAACAAAGAAAGTGGTGATTAAGCACCCATTTCCTTTGTATTAAACTGGTCCAGAAAAAATCCCCAATCTGAAGGGCAGGAAGACCCCTCTATCTGCCTCTCATATACCTTCACTGCCCAAAAAGCCGTGGGACCACACACATACTCAGAGTGGGAAAGAGACTCATGTTACAATCACTAGGAAACTGGGAAAGGCCCTTTAACCAACACAAAACCACAGAGCCAATTCTTTGACCTTTAGTGCAATTGCTTCCCTGTATCCAGAAACACAGAGTTTTGTCCAAATACGGATTTCACAAGCAGGAATTCATTCAGAGATAGATACTTGTGATACTGCCTGGATAGTTCCAGCAGCTAGCACAGCTTAGAATTGTCTGGATGATAAAAAATACCACCATGAGCATGTGGTTTCACCACATTGCACAAGTGTGGAGGTCCCCATTACACATTGAGAATGGTGAGACACAAGTGGTGTAACTGGGGATGCAGTAGTTCCTGGGAAAGGGATTTCCCCTGGAAACAATCACGTGCTCATCCTTCCCATGTCAAGTCAGCTTTGATCCATATGCAGGAGGGATTTTAACTCCCATTCCCAGGACAAAAAGTAACTAGAAGAACATCAAAGAGAGCTGGTTTTGGATCAGAGGGTGTAGAGAAGGGACTGAACAACCATTCCAGAAACCACTGTGAGGATAAACAGAAGGGAAGATGCACACAGACTGGAAAAAGAGTGAAGTTAAACAAAAGCAGCTGTTTATCTCTGAACTGTGCCAAAGCTTCCAGTGTTTCAGTGTCCCACACTCTGTGCAGCTTTCTAGCAGTAGTCAGCCCAAATCTGGGCAGCAGCACCGGCACCTGTTCTGCAGGAGGGAAGCAGGGAAGGATTAGACTCCCAATATATCACACACCTGCACATCAAGGATGCAGCGTACAGAAGAGTTTAGCAGAGCCAACGTGGCAAAGAATACCAAAGAGGCTGCAAGGACTGTCCTAGGGGTCCTCAGCTTCCAGCAAAGTCTTCCCACGCCTCTCTTCCAGGCCTGTTGCTGCACACTCCTGCCTATGGATTCAGTGGAAAGCTGACATTAGCACAGTGCTGATGGCACCAGAAGGAATGTGGTGTTTGGGGAGTTCAGCTGCTACCGGCGGCAACACCAGGTCCAGCACTGCCCCCCACCTCTCTCTCCCCAGTCCACACCAGCAGCTGTGGATCTGTGGGAGAGGAGAGCACATTCAGTATGGAGCCATACTTGGGTGCATGCATGAACTGGTGGTCAGAAGGATCTGAGACCCCTACCATGTATCAGTTACAGAGGAGAGCAGGGAGAAGAGGGCAGTCCTTGTGGATAATCCCTGGCCACAAGAGAGAAGATGGGAACCAGTCAGAGCTCCTATGAGGCCAGGCAGCCTGCCAAATACCACAGGATTTGTGTGAGTCAGCTTTGCTTGCACAGCTCTCAGCAAGGCACCTCTAAACTTTACTGCTTATCTTCCCGAGAGGGATCAATTTGATTTTTACTTATGCCTCAATGAATCTCCCACATGAGGTGAAGGATTCCTGTAAGGACCGTACATGTACCGGCAACCCTGTTCCTAGGAAGGCTTCCCCTGACAGCCAATCAGGACAGAAAAAGCCTCCTGATAAGGCTGTGAGCAACTTGCCCTACTTGCCACTGGGGGAAATACCCAGACACCAACGAAGAATGCCCAGGAAATTGGGCTGTGGAAGGAGCCTTAGCACATAAAAGCCGCTGTGACAAAACAGCGAGCCATTTTGCTTTGGGTGTCTTGAAGACATCAAGAGCTCACTCGGAGGGTCACCTTGGTCCTTCTTCCCCCCCACCCCTCACTTTTCCCTCCCTGTGGTCCTGCTTCCCTGCTTTGCCCTGCTTCACTGTTTCCACAAACACCTCATGCCCCGCTGCCTCCCCGAGGGAGGGGGCGCTGCCAGCTGCCTCCACCGTGTTTCCCAGGCGCAGCTGCACCCGCCTGCACCCAGCCTCAACCCCCTCAACCACCAACCTGCCACAGCACCAGCCCGCAGCCAAGGCTGCAGCTGCCGCTCACAAGGGCCGCACAAGGCGGCTCGCAGCCACCGCTGCCCGTGGAAGGTTGTGCCCAACCACTCATAAAAGCGGCGGGGGCTCGCCGTGGCTTGCAGCTCGCACCTCCGCCTGCTCAGCTGGCGCTGACAGAGCGCCGGAGTTCCTGTGGTAACGCTGTCCCTGCCTTCTGTTTCTTTCTCCATCCTCTGCTCTCTTTTCTATTCCCCTTCAGTAGGACACTTACCCTTCTTTATATTCGGATTATAATATTGTCACATTTGCACTTTATTTTCATCTGAGAAATCTATCAAAAAGAATCCTCCCCAACTCCCTCTTTTACACTGGGACAGAACACTTCCCCATAAACTTTGGGATAAGCTGTTCCACATATCCCATTGAAAGGCTTCAACAGCCTGACTCACCTGACAGCAGCCACTGCACAGCTGAACACCCACCAGCTTTTTCAGACTAGGATTCAGTGCCCACATCCCATAAATTTATGGACAGCTGATGGGAGAGTTCAGGATCGTGACACCAAGCAGTCTGTACAACCAGCCTGCTGCCCACAGCTCCTGAAATCCCAGAGCACTTTATTCCTTTCCCCATGATACAAATAATTTGGGAAGATTTCTCTTGCTAACATTGCTTTAAAGGCTTGGAGAAACTATTTCCAGTATCACTGCTCCAGCCAGGAACTACTCCCCTCTACCACTCAGCCCCAAAGGTGCCCATGGCTGAGCCCCCTCACCCCTGTGGCACAGTTACCTCTTTCCTCTCCACATCAGCCTGGATCTTGGCCTGTGTGACAGCGGCCTCACGGAAGGAGGAGCTGGCCTGCTTGGCCTGCTCAATCAGAGTCTTCAGCTGCTGGGCTGTGCTGAGCAGGGAATTGACCATCTCCTCCAGGTAGAGCCAGCTCCGCTGCTCCGTCACCTCCAGCCCGTTCACCACCGACGGCGACATGGCTTTGGTGGGTGTCGCAGGGGGCACTGCCAGGGCAGGCAGAGAGGTCAACACTGGACATAGGGAACAAAAGAGAAAATACAGACAGAAAACAGATCATTCCTTCTGCAACATCAAGTGCAGGTCTGTGCAAAACAAGCCCATGGGCACTGGCAAACCCACCGGACAAGAATGCCTCCTCTTGACCTGGATGATTGTGAAGAGTTTAACACCTCCCAGCACTGCTGTGGAGAAGCACCATGATGCAGTGAAAGAAGCATTCCCAGGAACAATTCCACCACTGCCAACAACGTTACCCTCAGCCATGGCTAGGTAAGGTTAGAGTAAGTCACTCAGTGACCCAATACTTTACAGAAACATCCTGATGTTCCTACCCAGATGTCAACGCTCAAGTTGAAAACCACAAAACTCAGGTACTGATCCACATCACTCTCTCTGTGCTTCCTGAATTCTGACCTCTGCATAACCCTGGCCAAGCACTGGACTTAACCTGAGATAGCCACCATTACCCTCAAGTGAGTGTATTCCAAAGGTGGACTTCCCAAAACCATGGGTTGGGAAGCCCTTTAACAACCCAGCAGTTACTGTGTCGCTGAACCAGCTACTTTTCACATTAGGTTTGAATGTACATTGGGAAATAAAGGTAGGACAAAATTAAATCCAGACCCCGGAATTCCACCATACACAGTGTAAACTCAGCTTAGGTAACATTCCAGGAAGAAGTGTTATCTGAATTTGCTTTTCCAAAATGTAACTCTAGCAATAAATACTCACCATCCGCCATAAAATTCAGTCCAAGATTTTCACATCTACCAACACTGACCTCGACACTCCTCACTGAATTCTTTACTAGTAAAAAGAAGGTAATACCAGCTTCAGGGTTGTGCAGACTTCTTACCTCAAAATACCCTTAATTAAAACAGTAACTTTAGTGAATTTGCTAATGAGTGGCATGTAACTATTTGCGCTTAGATATGAGTACGAGATAAACCAGTCTTTTTTATCAGTGTCTGTTTGCACAAGGGCCTTTCCCACTCTCCATTTCCAGAACAATATTTATCCCTGCATGGCATTTGATAACGTATCAAACAGGAATTACTTCCGATTCCTCATTTTGGCACAAGTACATCAGGCAAGAGAAAGTATTCACCGGTGAAAAAAAAATCAATGTTTAATTAGTAACATCAAGATCTGACTATGTCTTAAACTCAAGAAGATCTGACTCGAGACCAGGAACATCCTGTGCTGCTCCAAATAAATAAAGATCATACAGAGGGGATTGAAAACTGACACCAAAACCTGCCCACAAGTACCCCCAGCATGCACCACTGGAGCCATAAAGCCATGTGAGGATGTCTAGAAAAGCTTCTATGACATGATTTTAATGGGGTTTGTTCTCTTCAGACCAAACACTAAATAAATGTTCAGCCACAGTGCCCAAAGAGAACCAAAATCCAGAAGCAAGCAGTTTAGGACAGGCAGGGAATGCAAGACGACTCATGATGCAGAATCACAGCAGCTGCCTCTGGCAGAATAAACAAATCAAAGTTCTCAATAAAGAGCAAAAAACTTCCCACAGAGAGGAAACCTGCTTGCTTAAATCTTAGCATCTGTAAAACTCACAAGCAAAATAGAGCAGTTTAATTTTCTGCCCTAATCTTTACCTTTGCTGAGAAAGATGGGAGGAAATTAAAGCACAGTGAGCAAACGTACCGATTTTGGGATGAGACGTTGGCAGGGCAGCCTCAGGGAAAGGTGAGATCTGGCAGTTGTCCTGGTAACTGGGATAGTGAGGCTCTGGATGAGACACCCGGCAAGGCTGCTGGACGTTGGTGTCCTGAACTGCAGGAGAACAAGGGCCTTGGGAATCACTAACACACCTGGCAGGTGTTTCTTACACTGCATTCACCCCTATTTTTTTACATTTTATACAAGTTCCTACACTCTGGTAATTCCCAAGGGTTGAAAATGTGAAACAGCAGCAGGATCTCACAGTCAGCAGGCAAGGAATCCTGATCCTGGCTCCACCATGCTCTGCTTTCACTTTTTGAGCCACAGGTTCCTTGGTTCCATCCCACACAGTGAAAGATCCATGATCATCACGGGGCTCCAAACCCTGGTTCTCAGAGCAGGATCATTTCCCCAGAAGAGCTCACAACCCAAAGCATGACTCAAACAGAGAACTCAAATGTATGTCATGCATTTATATTTTGTTTGATTTATCCTGGCATTTTTCACTCTGTTTAAACCCTCACCTAGTTTGGGGGGTTTTTTTGTAGTACTTTAGGTTAAATGAGGAGTAAAAAAAAAAAATTACAGAGATGAACATAAATCCCAGGAACTCAGCAGAGGTGAACGTTAGCAGCTCTCAAGGGCAAAGCTTCTCCTTTGGTGCAACTGCTAAGATCTCAAACTGCTGAAATGATTTCACAGAAAGGACAGTGCCTTATGTAGTGTCTCCCTTGAGAAATAAATCCTTTGTGTTGCATTCAAAATGTTCCTTCGTACAGCAGTGGGCATCCAACCCTCTTTTACTCCTCCCCATGGCTGTCGAGGAGACACCTGAGCTCTTACCAGTGGCTCCAGTGAAAACATCCCCTTGTGCCGGGCTCTCTGAGATGATGGCCGTGGCCTCCACGGTGGACGCCCGGTCAAAGGTCAGCGCCCCGGAGGTCGTGATCTGTCCAGAGGGAGTCACGGTGACTGGAAACATTAAAGCACTTTCATAGTTAACAGTCAGTGCAGAGGACAAGCCTGTCCAGCTGTTGATATCCCTGTGCTGCACCATACAAGCCCAGAAGACTCACAGATCAGCAGCCTGGGATAACAGAGTTTGGATCACACCTGTGACCAGTGCAGCTGGAAAGGGAATAAAAGCCCCAGTGGGCTTTGGAAGGCTCTGCTGTCCTTCCAAGGCTCTGGGGGCACAAGGCCAAAATATTAATTTACAACTTAATACCTCCCAAATCACCACCTTTCCAATTACTTTATAAACTGTAACTTAAAACCTCCCATTAAGATTCAGTGAGGCCACACACCCCATCAACTTCTGGCTGCTTTATGACAATTTTAGCAGGAGTGATTGTTGCTACTTAAACCAACGTAATACAACCTGTGGATTACAGCTGATTCCATGATAGCTGGACAATTTTAGCTGTTTACCTACATGAGGTGATAGAATATGCTCAGCCAATGCAAGGAACAAGGCACAAAATCCTTCTGGATAATTATACCTGAGTGGCTTCAGAATGTTTAAAACCCATTTTAAAGAAGATTATTTAACTGTTACTATTAATTGCTGATGGGTTGATTCTGTAGCTCACAATAATTAAATCCTAGAATACAGTAGCTACAGATTCCTGGCTGGTGAAGTATGTGGCCACCAAAACAAGTTCTCTCTTCCAGTGCCAGCATGAGAGAACGAGCAGCCTCACAGCACTTCACATAACAAACCAGTACAGATTAAACCTATTTGGAGACTAAAAAAACCAAAGCCATAAAACAACTCTGCAGAATCCTTGTGTTTCTCCTCCTACTGTTGCTGATGATCTAATCAAAAGCTTACTTTTTTTGTTCTTTTTTTAGATTTCTGTTGCTTCCTCCTCACTCCCTTTGTACTGTTACCGTGCAGATTATGCCAGTGTGCAGAGAGCAGGACACATGGATGTGACTGGGGATGTGTGAGCTGGATCAGCTTGCAAATTAATTCCTGTTCTCACACAGATGATTTGCCAATCAAACCAGTAAGTAACAAAGTGTGTGCTGAATGTTGGAGAGGGATGTGCAGATCAAAGCAACACCTTCTGCCTCCTTCATTAACGACTTTCAGGCTGGGGGTTTCACTCCAGCTGCTTACAGGCTTTTTTTCTACATATTGCAAGGAATAACACAAATCTTACTCCAGCTTCTAAGGGACACAGAGAAGCTCAGGGGATGGAATGGGGATTTCTGTCAGAGCAGAGAAGGGCCAGCCTCCCCCAAAACTTAATTCCAACCGGAAATTTCCAACAGGAAAGTTTGTTACTTGCAAAAAAACTACCTGAAATCCACTATGGATCCAGGCCAGGACCCCATAATTTTCTCCCACTTAGTCTGGTACAGGGGGAAATATAATCATAGACTATAACCATAGAATCCTGAAATACTTGGGCTTGGAAGGGACCTTAAAGTCATCTCCTTCCACTGCCCTGTCATGAGCAGGGGCACCTTCTACTAAACAAGGTTGCTCCAAGCCCCATCCAACCTGGCCTTGAACACTTCCAGGCATAGGACATAATCCAAGCCTCTCTCAGCACAAAATATGAAGCCTACTGTTCATAGCACAAGAATGTCATGATGCTTAAGCCTGAGTTTCCTGGAGGTCTAGAGCTGCACTTTTTCCTATTCAACTTGTGTCCTGATGTGGCAACACTGTGCTACTTTCTATAAAATAGGAAGTGACACAAAGCCAATAAAACTATCCACTCAAAAGCATGTGACCAAAAAAAAGGACATTTTTCTCAACTGAATATCTCCAAGGGGCCACTAACAGACACAAAACACCTAGAAGGGCAACTCTCCAAAGAAAGGAAGCAATTTTTACTAGGAGAAAAGAACCTACACGTCGTTGCAGCAGTGGCTGGAAGCAGAGTGATGTTTTTGGAGCAATTCTTCTTCACTGGAGTTGCAGGTATTTCATTTTCTTTTTTCCGCCTTTTGTATGGCACAAAGAGTCGTATAGGGCCACTCTGGGTAGAAAAACATCAGAAAGAAAATGAAAAGAAAAAAGAAAAAGGCATTAGCTGAGGGACCTCTTTGGAGACTTTGGGTTTACTCTCATCTTTCCAAGAACAGCAGCACAGATCCCCATGGATGATATGTGGTTTGCAATGACAAACCAAAGCACTTAAACGTTTTCCAAACAAAAAGAACTTTGAAAAAAAAAAAAGTTAAGCTCAGCTCCCTCCAGCTGAAGAGGCACAAATTCAACCTCTTTCCACTATTATTCAAGGAGTAGAACTGGATAGATAATCAACTGCTGGCCAAGGTGGTGGAAGAAAAGAGAAAAAGAGGGAAGAGAAGAGAGGAAGAAATTCCAGGCTAGAAAACAAGCACACCAGTCAGTTCATAGCAGAAAAGGAAGGCAAAGCACCAGGTCAAGTTACGTCTTCTGCTTCTACTTCAGGACCTAAACTTCATTTTTGAAACAAACTAGCAAAAAATCAAACCCCAAATCAACTAACCAAAAACCCCAAGCAGTTTCAAAATTAAAATATTGATCCATCATAAGATTTTGATGTTACTTCTTTACAAAAATATTTTTCCAATTCAAAACATTGTGAAATTCGAGTCAAAATCATAAATAGCATTAACATCCCCAAAAGGCATTTTGCATAGATATATTAATTAGAAAAGGAAAAAGAAAAAAAAAAAAAAAAAAGAAGAAAAAACCAGTAAGTATGATCTAGCTTTACTGAGGCTGTTCTGCAACAATGCCAGCAGTTCCTTATCTCCTTTCTCCATGGGGCAGGGACAAAGCACTTGTCTCTGAATACTCATGTGTCAAGGCACTCAGTTCCCAGGACATGCGTGACCTGCTCACCCAAGGGCTGTGGCAGCTTGACTGGTTAATTTGTCCAACAAAAATAAAGTAATGGATGTAAAGCCTCCCACTCACCAGTGTCATGTCATCACAGCAAGCGGCACAAGTACACGAGGCAGCATGGGGATTTAAAATCCCATCCTGGAATCAGAAGTGACCAGTTCAGTATGAGAGTCACCAAAATCATCCAAAGCACACCTTGATCCTGCCAAAAAATGTGGATGGCTCCTGGAGTGGTACCCATTCCCTCCTGGATGCTGTACAGTAACAGAGAAGTCAGTTTCCCACACCAGAGCAATGGGGTGAGAGGGTCAAAGGAGAGAAAAGGAAAACCAAACTTTTCCATACCCAAAGGCCAGGATGTATGAATCTGAGACTTGATTTCTGCCCACACAGAAATCAACTGTCAGCCTAGTGGCAATGCCAAGTTCCCCAGGAGACTCAAATAAAGGATCCAAATAATGTATGGTGAAAGTGAAGAATAAGTGGCAGGCAAAGACATTGAAGGAGATCAGGTTACTGAATTACAGCATCATGGGTGAGAGCTCAATTCCTGCAGCACAGCTCAGGGCTAGGCTTCACCCTGCAGAAACTCTTTCCAGTATAAGCACGATTCCCAGTGTGCTATTTGAATTTGAGACACATCACAAACAATTCCCCTACATCACTGATCCTCAACCCAGCTAAGCATCCTGGTGCCATCAGCACCTGGTTCCAGCTGCCCCTTCCGGCAGAAAGGAGCGAGCAAACTGAACCTTACATGGATAAGGCACTGCAGGGGCCGCCCAGCGTAGCGGATGCTCCTCTTCCAGTCCTTGCTGCTGGCTCGCCCCGCCATGGCTTCAAACTCTGTGGGGCTGTACCAGTTGTCCCCTTGCTTAATGCACCTGCCACGGCCTCCTGAAGTAAAGCACCAAAATACACTGTTAGTCCAGGTTAAAGGGAATTTTGCCACTTCTCTAAGGAGGAAAGCATAGAAATTGCTGGGCAAACTAGCAGGTAATCTGTAAGAACCATTATGCCCATTGGCTGCTTCCCATTGCTCTGGGGTAACTACGTCCATTTATTATTATGGCTGTGACAATGACTGGGCATAGTCAGAGCTCCAACTCAGGGTCTTAAAAATTTACTTCTCCACAAAAAAAGAAAATTCTTTATTGGATAAATGCCACAAATTTAAGTCTTTTCTCAAGTTGCACTTAAATTTCTTTTTTGTGTTGAAGAAAACTTTTTGTCCACAAAGCAAGCACTCCACTGGGCAGCCAGGCTGCTGGCACTTTCTGCTGCTACTTCCCCACAGGGATAAAAGACAAGAGGAGGAGCTCGGGAACTCCATGAAGAGACAAACTCTCTATCTGCATTCCAGCAGGGACTCTTCAGAGCTTTGCAAAAACACAAGTTTACTCATGAGACAAAAAATCACTAGAGGAGTTGGCCTGTTACTGAGGAGACTCAATGCCTGGCAGCCTGGATGTCCACAGGTTTAAGAAAAAGCTAAAAAGCCTCTGAATAAAAAGCAAAACAAAAGGGAACAATAAAAATCAAAAAGGCACCAGACTGGCTTAGAAACTCTCTTCTTTTTTTTTTCTCTCATGATCAGCCCTTAAGAACAGCCTGATTAAAATAAGAGTACAGAAGGAGCTGTGCCACCCCTCAGCCCGTGTGGCAGTTACCTGAGCCCAGCCTGTTCTTGTACAGAATGCCACTGATATTCCGGCACCGCACCGGCAGCTCGTTCTCGTACACAGATGGGTCCCAGTTGTACTTGGTTCCACTCTTCCCCTGGACAGCTGTCAAAGGGGTAGGAGGAGACTGTGGTCCTTGGAGAAAAGAGAAAAGAAAGGTGACAGCAACCGAAAGGCAGAGTGGTGTTCCATCCCATGCTCAGCTGGGTGAGGTGCCAGGGAGTTGACTTGAACAGCTGGAACCCCCCCACATTGGAGCAGCACAAAAAACTCAGCCTGAACAAACTGAGAAGGGCTGATAATTAAGCAAAGAGGACCTGAGGAAACAGGCTCTAACAGGGAATAAATGCTGAGATTGTGAACTGATCCTTACACAACCTGTAAGCCCTGGTGTAAGGAGCTAGCTGGAGAGTCCCCTTTGCCGAGCACATCCTGTGCAGAGTTTTAGAGCACTGAAGGTTTGCTCTGCCATCTCGTGGGCAGCAAGGAAACTGGCAGGCAGCCCCAAACAAAACCTCAGCGACACTAAAGTGTCAGCCAGTGGCCTGAATCGACAAGAAAATATGTTCCAGAACCCCTGGAAAGAACACGCACAGAACTGGGAGACTCGGATTTTTATTAACCATGTTAAAATGATCCGCGTGCCCTTGGGGGTGGGATGGGTGTAGAAAGCCCAGTAGCAGGGCAAGATTTTTCAAGCAGCTTCTTTTTGAGGGAAAGAATGAGAAAATTAAACACATTTCTGACCAGAATTTTTTTTTTTTTTAAAAAAAGCATTCTTTCATTCCCAAGAAATACACAAAATTCTGTGTGAGGACTCGGTATCTTAAAGGGCTTTTCAACCTGAACAACTTTATGGTTTTAAGAGAGGGCAAACCATCCTCATAAAATTATGCACATATTTTTAGATTCCAGGAAGACAAGTAGAGTGGAATAGAAGCCATCCCTCTGGAAGAGGGACCCACCATAAGCAGACTGTCTAATACCTGGTGTGAGAGGTGCTGAAGGCCCCTTGATCCCAGTGGTTTCAACGATGCTGCCATCTGTGTGCACCACTATCAGAGTGGCTTTTTCAGGGTTCAAGCTGTCCCCAATTTGGAGGGCTGTTCTCCCAGACTACAGAATAAATAAAGAGTTTAAATTGAGTAGAATACTTCAACACAAATAGATTTCAGTAACCCACAGGTACTGCAAAATTCCTATCAGTATGGTATTTATTAGGTTAATTTTTGAGTTTTCAGACAAGCAAATTCAAATATTTCATGTTTCAGGCCACCACTTCTGTTACAGAATGAGTATGTGGGGGTGGAAAGGTAAAAAAATGGGAATAAAACCCCCCCAGCTAATGGGGTTTGTGGCTTAAAGCCTGGATATTACAATGAAAACAAGCCTTTGACCTTACTATGGATCTTCATTTACACTGAGAAACTTTGTCAAATGCCCTCAAATGAAAGGACAGACTTACCAACACGTGTCCTGAAATTGAAGCTGCATTGGCCACAGATGTGGTGAAAACATTGTCTGCAGAGGCCCCCACGTTGGCTACTGTCACTGTGGTGACTTCTGGAATGTAAAACAGGGTTAATTTAATGTTCTGCTGCATGCAGAGAGCCTGATGAACAGCTGAACAGCGACAACAAAACAATCCTTTTTCCTTCCTATTCAAAATAAATTTTATTTTTAATGGCACCTGTAAGTTGTTATGAACACTACCATTCTGATTTCTATTAATCTTTGGGTTCAACAGGCTTTAACCTCCTTGAAACCAGGGCAGTCACTATCAGCATGTGATGAAGGAATAAAGTAGTATTGCACCTGTACTAGGGATACTCCAAGCTGTGGTGCTTTTATTTAAATAGGGACGACTGGCAAACATCAGGATAGATTGAACAACAGACTCTGCCCCTGTCATGTACTAACTCTGATGGTGCCATGGCCTGTGCACTTTGTCCAGTAAGGAGCTGCCCGGACGTAGAGCCCAGCGTTTCTGTGGTGTTCAGCGCTTGGTCTGGCTCAAATCTTTGGGTTTCCACGTGGGGTGAGGGTGAAAGAACAAGAGGCTCTCGGACAGAGACAGCCGGGGCGATGGGCTCTGGACTCTGTGGCACCGCAGCTCGGCTGCACGACCCTGCTGCGTGACTGGGGGCGTTTGGTTACGGGACACGGGGCCGTGCCTCAGGCGCACCGGGCGGCTCCTGCTCTTTACTGAGTGTGAAGGGGCGGAGTGTGGGATTCGGTGAGGGGGTGGGAGCTCGCTGTCCCTGAGGGAGCTCGCTGTTCCAGCCCGAGCCTCGGGGGCTGTGTGGGGGCCGGAGCCCGGGCTGGGGGAGCCCCGGGCGGGCTGAGGGAGCGCTGCCCGCCCTGACCTGCGAAGGCAGCGGCGGCAGCGGCCTCGTCGGCGCTTGGCATTGGAGGCGCTCCCATCTCGATGTGCTCGGCGTCTGCCGCCATCACCGTTACCGCCTCCTCCTCCTCCTCGGGCTCCGCCTCCCTCTCCGCTGCCCGTGGCGGCTCCTGCTGCTGCCCGGGTCCCGCGGGCAAGCC